TGAACCCTCAAACTGGAATTTATTGAAGGGTCAGAATCCTCAGGGATCCTTACATTTCTAAACCATAGCTTTAACACCTGTCCACTTTCAGCTCCAAGAAAAGTTCAGCATGGGCTTAAGTCCCCACCCCCAACGTTTAAAGCTTACAGCAGCTGGTAGGAGCTTCAAACTACTAAGCCCAGGGCATTCCCTGGGGCTTACAGCACGAGTAAGAAAGTATCTAGAGCTTCAGGAGCCAATTCCTGGAGGGCTTTCTGGAGTATCTGGGAGTCTCTGGTTACATGGCAGACTGCACAGATCACTGGCATTGAAGCACATACACAGGGCTGACATTTGGGGGGATAACCTTAGTTGGTTTAAGGGCAATCTGACGTCTCCAACTATTGGTGTCAAGAAGCTGGAGACTTGCGGCTTGGGGAAAGCAGAGTAAAAATATCTTACTTCTAATAGCTTCCTTACTCATAAAGCCATCTATGATTCATATAGAAAAAGGGGAGGGGCAGAGTAGGAGTTCAGTTACATGGGGTACAAGTTAGTTGGCGCATACAATGAGAGAATAGGGAAGGGACAAAGAAAAGGCAGAGGGGTTGACTGTAGGGGTATAGGTTGGGGATCACCTGAAATTCTGGGGGGGGGGGTAAACAGGAATTATTGCCTCCTTAAAGGGGAAATGTTTGAGAGTTTTTGGGGTCCCAATATGAACATTTCTCTGACTTGCCTAAGAATAAAATGGGGACAGGTCTAGGTAAGCTTCAGAATCTATGGAAGAGAAAACCTAGGCCTGGGCAGCAAATACCCTTTCTTGATTACATTCTTGTCCCTACAGTCTTAGAGGATTTAGTCTTAGACTCAAGGCCCTTTAGTTCATATTTGCAGTGCACCTGTATGGATCATCTCTCTATCTATGGTAGACATTTTTATTGGGAGTTCAGAAACTACTACTATTACAAAAACAGAAAGAAAAACAAACAAGCAAGAAACAATTTGGTGCTGCAGAGGATGAAGGAAGATGGGGAAGAAAATGCATTTCTCACACTGCCTACATGCTATAAATGAAAAAGATCCACAGTAAATGGCAGGGTTAGGGTTTTTTTTTTTTTTAAAAAAAGATGACCGGTAAGGGGATCTTAACCCTTGACTTGGTGTTGTCATCACCACGCTCAGCCAGTGAGCGAACCGGCCATCCCTATATGGGATCCGAACCCGTGGCCTTGGTGTTATCAGCACCGCACTCTACCAAGTGAGCCACGGGCCGGCCCAGGGTTAGGGTTTTTTTAAAGAGCTAACACCCATGTGCTTTACTGATTCTGTGACCATAATTTCATAAAATATTTATTGAGCACCTATAACGCACTAGAGATAAGCACTGAGGATGAACAGGTGACTTAGGCAAAGTCCCTACCTTCAAGGAACTCACAGCCTATGGCAGAAAACTCATAGATCATAATACAATGACAGGACCACTGAGTTTGGGAGTGGGGTAACCCGGGCCATTGAGAACAATGCCTTTAAGCACAGGCCTATGGCTCTTGGCTGACAAAGAATGTGTCTGGGATCAGCTGCACTTCTGGTCCTCCATTCAAACTATAAGTTGAGGTAGAAAAAGGGTGCAGCTGAGCTCTGCGATGGAGTCAGGATACAGCTGCTAAATCTAACTACAGTTCTTTTGGCACTGTTAACTGAGCTGGATTCTGCCTGGCGGCCAAAGGCTGCCAAATCCCTGATTTAAGACATTGCCTTTCCAAAGAAAAACAGCCATAATGAAAATAGCTTATGTCTTACATAAACTCTTAGCAATATAACTCACATATTACCTTTAAATAGGACCCATAGTATTTTGTTACATGTGGACTGTCACGCTGACTTAAAACAGCTATTTCTTGCTGTGTCTTTTATCTTGTTTCCATGAGCTTTATAATTTTAATAGTACCCATTTGACTCTACCTAATGATGAATTTATTTGAAAATTCTCCAAAAGAACCTTTCTCAACATTTTAATCATTTGACCTTGCCTTTATGAACTTAAGTCAGAACTTTCCTGAGCCTTGGTTTAATCACCTATAAAGCGGGGACAATAAAATCTAAAACACCAGACTGCAGTAAAGTTAAAATGAGATAAATATATGTGAAAGCAGGAGCCTATTTGAAAAACCATCCCTGCTTTAAAACTGAATAAGAAGTCTTATAGCTTTGGATCTTGACCCTAAGATGCTATACCCTCAAGGAGTGTGAAGACTAGATTGATCTTCACTCAGGATAAGAATGGCATGAAGAGGACAATGGGGAGGACATAAAAGTGATCTGGCTGTGATATCCAATGCTGATTTGGCTTATCAGCCTAGTCTCCCTTAGCCCTTACCCTACTCCACCCTCTCATCTCCTCTCTCTCTGCTATTTGCTTGGTTAAAACTGTTGACTTTGATGCATGAAGGGGTACTACTCCTTCAGTGGAAAATGAAAAGGAGGGGGGAAGCCCTGAAATGATGAGCGCCTTCATTGTAGAAAAGAGTTTTTACACTGCAAGGAGAGCATCTAGTACATCATATATGGGGTGTTCGGAGCCCAACTGAATACTAGTAACTGACAGTAATAAACAATAAGATATTTTCTATATATTATGACACAGGTAATATAAACCTGCCCATTTATTTAAAATCCATTTTTAAAAATGCAGTCCACATACATTTGGATACATAGAACTGTCCAACTTCAAAGAAAAGATTGATTATGAGTTGAAAAAACAATGAGGTTAAAAAATCTATTCAGTTCAATAATTTAAAAATACTGAGTTAGGCAGTGAATTAAAGTAATTGGCAAAACCTTTCACTGGATAAAACAGAGTGATAACTTAATTGTGTTGAGTTTGCTTAATTCACTATTTTAAAATTTAATTATAGTGCTTAACATTATCTGAAATCTTCTATACATGGACAATTCCCAGCCAACAAATTTGTAGTTGGGCCACTTTCTGCATATGGATCAAGTTATATACATTATTCTTTTTTACCCAATTTCTGGTTTATTTATAAGTTATTCAAATTCATTAAATATTACATTAGGACATACCAGTTTTTCCCCACAACGGCAGAATGGTGACTAAGGAAACAAGAAAACAAACCCTTAACTTTTGTTTAAACATGTACTGCAACACACATTATCATTTTGATCAAAAGTAATGACTTTCAGTTTTGAGATTTATAAGTTAGCAAATCTAGAACAAGAAGCAATATACCAAATAATTAAAGAAGCCAACCTCAGTAATACAGATGTCTATTTTATTAAAAAAGTTACAAACAGGTGGACTGCAGGGTCATCTTACAAAATGACAAGAATGAAATCTATTGGAAAAATTTTACTTTTACAAATCTTTATAGGTAATTGTTCAATGTTTGTACTTATTTGAGATTTTACCTTTCACCGATAAAGTTACAGTACATTAGATCCATGATAATAGGTTACATGATTTTATTTGCAGAGCCCTACTGCAGTGATTTGAACAACTCCTAAACAGATGCCATAGTAAAGACAAGACATATATTGCATTTAATATTAATTTATTATTCTAATAAGCAACATGCAATCTATCGAGGAAGTTAAAATAACTTTTGGTCCCTTTTCTTAAAATGTGCTGGAGAAACCACCTTAAAAATCACTTTCCCCTGATTCCTGTGATCCTAAGTGAATTCAAGTTAAATTTGCTGCTGAGGTCAATGACAATGAACACTATAATTGAAAGGGGGGAGAGAGGGGGAGAGGGAGAGGGAGAGGGAGAGGGAGAGGGAGAGGGAGAGGGAGAGGGAGAGGGAGAGGGAGAGGGAGAGGGAGAGGGAGAGGGAGAGGGAGAGGGAGAGGGAGAGGGAGAGGGAGAGGGAGAGGGAGAGGGAGAGGGAGAGGGAGGGAGAGAGAGAGAGAGAGAGAGAGAGGAAGAACACTATCCATAGGAAAGAAACACTATATAAAAAACCCAATAATATGCAGAAAATTTAAATCATCATGAATTATTTGATTCCTTTAGAATTTCACAAAGCTAATACAGATGCGCCACGATCACTTAACCTACTTTGAAATGACTGCTTGGTTTTAAGTTTGGTATTAAAGTGCAAACTTAAATTAAGTATTCATTTCAAGCAGTTTATAAATAAGGAACAATGTTTCAATTGCCTCTACCCTTATAATCTCACCATAAAATTCAAAATTTAAGAACAAGAGTTCATGTTGAGGGGATTTGATCAGGAATCAAATGCAACACGATTTAAAAAAAGGAAATCAAAGTTTAATCAATTTCTACTCAATAATTAATGGTCATGCTGACCGATAAATCACATGAATGTAGATCCTATCACTTTATTTGAACATCACACACAATATTAATTTAAAATTGCCACACCCTTCCATAAACCATCACTGCATATATTAGAGCTTTCCTTGACAAAGTTATTGAGCTATTATTATAGATCAAAAGTATAGTTTGGGGTTTTTTTTGTTTGTTTTTGTTTTATTTAGAAGCATGTTCAAATGACTGAAGCTGGGCTCCTAAAATCGAGAACTTTGGTGCAGTAGGTGAGCTGCAGTTACTAACTTCTGCAAATTAAAAGCATACAACTAAAACCAAATATAAACCTAACAACAAAATACTGTCAGACTTTCACAATTTGAAAATCACTGCTAGAAAAAGCACTCGTTTTCATGTTAAAACTGAACCAAAACATTCCTCTTCAGAAGTTTCCTTTCTGCTTCTACATCTGTGTTACTGTTAAAATGTTCAAGTATTCAGACAAAATGTGCTGATTAGGTAAACAACATGGAAGGCAATGGCTATTAGAAAGCACATTTGCAAAAATAAAAAATAGCCCAGAGACTTGGCGCTATTCTCCCTCCTGTTACACAGATTTTGTCTCTACTACGAACATGCTTCTTGAGAAATAACTAAAAAGCAATTATGATAGTGCAAGAAAACTTTAACAAATATTGCTTTAAACTATTATTCAGAAAGACAAATATTAAGAACTAGAAACTGTATATGATTTTATTTGAATTCAATTTTACATGTGCAGAAGTCTACTAGATGTCAATTACAAGCCTGACAGGCAAAGCTGAGCTATCACTGTTTAGGTATACAATTAATTTACCATGGATACAATATCCCTTTTCAAACGCATTGCTAAATAGGTCATAACTAAATTTAGAACCTCACAGAAAGGAAAATGTTACTGCTGCAATTCAATGCTGTAAATGAGATTAACACATGTGAAAACCTAATGCAACTGAATGCTTAACTCTTTAACTAAATGCTCTACAGTTGATTTCAAATATCAATTGTAACTTTCAGAATATGTTAATTACAAAAACACATCACAAACTGCACTTGAAGAAAAGGGATATTTCATCCATACAGGTAAAAGGTGATCTTTAGTTTCTTTTTACAACACTGCCACATGTAAACAAAGTCTCAAAGTATTAACCAACCATTTAAAGGAGAAAGATTTTACAAATAGGATGAAGCACTGGTACGAGGTAATATACAGAAGTAACCATTTGTTTAAGGCTCAATTTTTTTCTCCATTATAACTTTCTTTTAAAAGGCATTGAGTAGGTAATACTGAGTTTGAGTATTTAATAAATACAAGTTGAGAAACTGATTAAAGAAATCAATTAAAATATTAAAAATTAACCCTTGCATATTAGCCATCAGTAAGAACTTAGAAAGCTATAAAAGGACTGATTGCTAATGAACAAATTTTAAACATATAGTAAACGTGCTAAGCATTCCTGTTTAAGGTCGATGGATCTTGAAGGCCAAAGACCTTATGTACTTAATTAGATGTATGGCAACATGCTGTAATAGAGACAGGTTTACCAAGGCTCAGTTCTGCAACCCAGGTTGTAAAGTTCTCCAAAGCAGCATCTGTGCAAATTTCCTCTGAGTTTTATCTGCAATTAAGATAAATATGTCATAAAAATGCAGAAATATAGATTATAGTTTCAAAAGAGAACACTGACAACAGATCTATATACACACGGAAGTGGTAACAAGAATAACAATCCTAAGGTGGAATTTCGCTGTGCTCCCCATAAGTTTAAGTAAAAGAGTAATTTTCTGGGTCCAGAAAAGTTATTAAAAATTAGAAACACAGTATTGATGCACTGGATATAATGTGGGTGTGTGCATGTATATATAACTACTCTGGTTTATTTTATACTTACACTATATTAAACATGTTCTTACTGGTTTAAATGATCTTACAGTATAAAAGTTGCAGCAAATGTTGCTTCTACTTTGAACTTGATTTCTTCATATTTTAACTGAAATGGTATTAGAATTGAATGCATATTAATTATGAGTTAACTTGAGAATATGCTAGACTTTTCCAAAATTTCGTTTTTGGGGAACTTAAAATAAGAAAATGCGATTCAATCAGGCTGTAGATATTGAGCACCTACTAGGTGCCCTGTTTTGGGCTAGATGCTAAGTGACAGCAGCAGTTTACATTTTCCACTCTGGTCTGCCCTTTTTTGGACATTCTCCCAACCATAGGAACTTCTCCTGTGATTGGGATTCCTCAGTCTGCTCTTAGAGCCGAGAGATATCCGCCCTTCCAGTTAATAGTGGGGGGGAAAATCTATCATTCAGACAGATACAATGTCCTTCAGCTGTGCTGATTCACCAACTAGCTTTTAGGGAAGTGGAATCACGTTTGTTTTTTAATATAGAAGATAAAAAATGTTATCATAAAGCCAGAAACAAAAGTATAACAGCAGCTATGAAAGAATGCCAAGTAAAACCAGTTTAAGATCATCTAAGGGCTCTACCAATATTTATAAATGCATGATTTTAATTTCATTTGACAGCTACACATCTATTAGCATTCAAAGAGTCTGAGAGAATGCTTTATTAGCAGCTATATTGTAAAAATGATTACATCAAAAGAACGTCACTCTGCTCATTATTATTGAAATTCTGCCACCTAAACATTAGGAAAAGTAGAACAAAAGTCTGCCTCTTTAGAAACTATTATAAAAACTTTTTTTCCAATTAAAATTAAGACTTTTTGGCATTAAAGTCAATTAACTAGGATATTGGTTATTTAAGTTTGGACAAGTCCAGTTTCCTCACCTTTAAAATAAGGATAAAAATACTTTCCTCACAGGGTTGTTGTAAATATCATATAAGGTAATATGTGAAAGTACCTTATAAAGTATAAGTGGCTAAATAAATAAATAAGTAAACAAGAACAAAGCAAAGCAAAACAAAAAGAAAAAAAGGTATAAATGGCTATACAAATGTTAGGTATTGTTTTCATATCCCAACTACATTATAAATTTCTAGGAGACCACGATTGTATCTTTGATAACCAGACTAAGAACCTTTATATAATTTTAGCCTAGTTTGAATTTCTATACCTATTTCAACACAATATTTCATTATATATGCAATATGAAGACTTTCCAGTAATTCAAGCTAGACTTACCTCAATTCACTTAAATTAAGTTTGCTATAAATTTTAATCTACATTTTTCAAAATAAACAATTATAAGAAGACTTGGATTTTCAAATATGATTATGTTTCTTAAATCTTGAAGCTTGTGATATGTGATGATTTAATAGTTCAAGCATTCTCTGAAATCACATTGAGAAAGTAGTTATTTCTTTCTAGCCAAAATAAACAATAATACAAACCAGTTTACTAGCCATTATCTGTATTAAATAAAAGGTGATATATTCATCACTTCCCACCCTCCAAAAACCTGGTTAACATTTGGTCCATCCACATTCCACAGGATGACAATACTCCAGTGAAATCAAGAGATCTAGATAAATCCTCAATCAGACTCAACAATATTAACATTAGGCATACATTTTAGCAAACAAATTATTAATACTGGCTTCTTTACAAGAAAGCAGTAAATTATAATTCACTGCAGTAATAAATCCTGAAGCAAAAGCTTGCATTAAGCAAAAAGGACAGTTTTTCCCAGATTAAAATTTCACAGAATGCAAAATGTAAATGTTTTGCTCCAAAGTAACAGCAAAATTTTCAGTGTATTAACACCCTCATTCATTTAAAAAACATGCCAGAAGGTTTAAACGCAGCTGGTCAAATTAGTACTTATTAACTCAAAGGATATCACATCCAGACATGCTGCAAAGGTATAACTTGCTGCTTTCAAGGTAGAACACGAGTTATCCTTGTCCTCACTCTCAAATTTCCATCAGACAACTAACAAATCTTAACTGTGGAAGCTTCTACCTCATACTCTTTCCTATTTGTTTTCATTTTTTTTCTAAGAAGATGTTATGGGAGAGTACAAAAAAACAAAACAAACAAAAAAGCAAATAACAATCCAAACCTTTTGCTCAGGAAACTATGAAATAGGGTCTCCCAAGTGGGGAAAATTGGTACACAAGAGTACCAAACACAGAACCAAAAGAAAAAAGATCATTATTTATGTCAGCCTGAAGAAAAATATTCTTGATTCAAGACTTGCACATCATTTCACATGGCAGCAGAATGCCTGGGATGGTAACAAAGACTCTTGAAAGGCTTAGCAGTTTATGAATGTCTTTTCAGCCTAACTGGACTTGCCATTTCTAAACACAATGGTATTTACTAGCATTCTCTCTCTTTTTAGCAAATATAAATGTGCAATCATGATAGTTTTTTTTTTTTTTTTTTTTTTTTTTTTTTTTTTTTTTTTTTTTTTTTTTTTTTTTTTTTTTTTTTTTTTTTTTTTTTTTTTTTTTTTTTTTTTTTTTTTTTTTTTTTTTTTTTTTTTTTTTTTTTTTTTTTTTTTTTTTTTTTTTTTTTTTTTTTTTTTTTTTCCAGTTTTAGACATACGATATTCTGGGGACTTAACCAAAGGAATTTTTTTTAAATGAATTTTCCTTCACATTTTTTACTCGGCATTTTCATATCCAAGTTAAATACTAGTTCTATTAGCAAAACATGAGGCTGGAATTCTGTTGACAGAGGTTATGTTTTTGTTAAATATCTTCTGTTTCATTTCTCTACCCTCATTTGCGTAATACTCATGAAGCTTATTGGGGTGGAGTGGGAGGGTTAGGTCATTAAAAGTGCTTACTGTCACCCATTAAACATCAGAGAGCAAAAGCTGAACCTATGGCATAGAATCCTCGAATGAAGCAGAACCATGCTTGAAGGAAAGCATGCACATTAAATGTTTATGATGAACCTAGGGAACTAGGGAAGGTATTATCTATTTTTCTTAAGTCCTAGACCTAAAATTTCCAAAAGTTTAAATTGATATGGTGAGTTAAATTCTGAGATTTCAAACAGTATGTATATATCCAGTGATGATAAACAGCAGTGTGAGCAGTGATCTGATTCTAGCTGCTAGCTTTGAATTCGACCAGGTAGGGTGCTGCTCCCTTCAACTCTAAAACACTTTTTCTGAATCTGATATTCCTAAGACTGTGGGTAATCAAAGGCATTTGGAAGTATGTTTTTGAGTGGCTAAGTTTTTCCAACAGCTGACAGGGCTTAAGTTTTTCTTAGTGATATTATCTTCTGAATTGTAGAACTCCACCGAGAAGTAATCCCACAAGGAGAATCTTTCCTGTAGTATGGCTAGAACACTTCCTTGGTGGCAATTCTCCAACTCCATGAGGCAATTTTTTTTTTGTTAATTCTACTGATGGTTCATTCTAAGCCAGAGAGGTAATAGAGTAAAACTGAATGGCTCATATGCATCTCATTCTGCAATAAAAGCCTAATCTTGAGGTTAAAAGGAAGCAATTAAAGAGGGAACAGATATACAAAGAGTCATTCTAATCACCAGACACCTCCACGCCCAGAGCAGGTCTAACTAGGCACCTATCTACACTGAACAGTCTCAAACCATGAACCTTGTGGGGAGGTCAACGAAGGTCTGGGAGAATTAGGGATGGCAAAAAGGGCAAAACAGCTTTGTTCCTCCCTTTTACCCCAGGTGCACTGTAGGCCTTCATGGTACACACTACCCCAAAGCACACTTCTTCCTCCATGTAAGTCCTCTGCTCCACCTTGGCTCACCATTTGAACTGGATGAGAAATGAGCATTTTAAATAAACCATTTCCCCCGACTCAAAGTTATATGCAAAATAGGGCAGGGGTTAAAAAGGAAGTATCTAACAAAACTGTAACTTGTGCAACAGAATTCCATCCCAGTGTTTTACTGATATGATTAATATTTAACTTGGATATGAAAATGCCAGCATTTTAAAGTACACGATGTGATTTAATTTTGAGGATTTTCCCCCCACATTTGCTAAACTCCCAGCATATCATATCTAATTAAAAGCTAAGAAAAAAATTACAATTCTGATTCTACATTTTTATTAAAAATACCCTGAAAATCCTAATCAATTCCACTGTATTTAGAAATAGTAAGTCCAGCTAGACTAAAATGACATTCATAGATGGTTCAGCCTTTCAAGAGCCTTTGTTAACAATCCCAGCCATTCTGCTGCTGCGTGAAATGATGTGCTAGTCTTGAATCAAGAATCTCCCTTTTTCTTCAGGCTGACATATATAATGAACTGGGGCTGACATAAATAATGATCTTTGTTCTCTCAGTTTGCCTCCTGGTGTTTGGTACTCTTATGCACCATTTACTCTAGTTGGGAGAACCCGTTCCATAATACACTGAGAAAAATGATATAAAATCTTGCAGGAAACCTTCAAACCATAAAGAACACCTTTTCCCCCCATTTTCCTGCTTTATAGCTTTCATCAATACTGTACTGACACATAGGAATCCTTGAAAAATCATCTCTAAAAAATACTATTTGCCAAAAGAGTATATACCAAACTGTCACACTTAAGGGATAACTTTACTGCACTTCCCCCTTCCTTTTGGGAAATTGACAGAATATTTTAGGGTACTATTATGCTTCTTTTTGGCATTCCTTCTGTTTGAAAATCATCTCTACCTACCCCCTCCCTGCCCCACCCCATCCCATCCCCTTCCCATTCTTCAAGGCTTGACTTAAGTGCTATTGCTCCCCAATTCCTCTAACTCAGTGGCTTTTAGCCAGGGATGATTTTGCCCCCCAGGGGACATTTGGCAATTTCTGGAGATATTCTTGCTTGTCACAACTGGGGGGCGGGGGTATGCTACTGGCATCTAGTGGGTAGAAGCCAGGGGTGCTGCTCAATATCTGATAATGCACAAGACAGCTGTGAACAAAAAGCCTAGAATGTTGAGAAATTCTGCTACAACTGGACCCCCCAGCACTGTGATTTACTTCATTTATAGTATTACGAGATTATTAACAGAACATCTATCCTTCTCAATAACAACATACCAAAACAGCAAACAGCCAATTATTTACACCAATACGAAGAAGCTATGATAAACAAACCAAAACAGGGCTACAACCTGATCTGGGTTTCTGTTATACTGCTGCTGCAAAGTAAAAGAAGTCTTCAGAGCACTTGATGGTAGGCCCTCCGGGTCAGTAAAGAAATCAGGATGGCCATGTATAAAGAATCTACCCATGCTTTCAAAGTTATATTAAAATTACCGCCAATGAGAGGGTAAAAGGTGAGGAAACAATCCTGGGAGCCATGCAGATATACAGGTGTTGGGCAAGAAACCAGGTACCCAAATTGAAGGGTGTTAAGAAATAAATGTGAAAGTCATATTATTTCTTACTCAAACAAGGTACTCTTCTAAGTATTAAAGACAAACATTTCTCAAATCACCTTTATCTGTCAAAGTTTGATCTTCAGTCTAGATCTGAGACTGACAGGCTTCAGAGCTCCATGACTCTAGCTACAGTATTCAAAATCCGTCACCTATTTGGTTTAGGTAATTAGTGAGCAAGGATAACCACAAACTTTACTAGCCTCAGATTACCAATTCCCACACACATCAGCTCAATCCTATCTGATGTCAGAAAAAAAATAAAACTGCATATGGTGTGCTTTGTTCTAAGATAGTTTGGTCAGGGAGTTCCCTTTAATATTTTCAGAAAGTCAGCTGATTGGATATTTTATTTCAAGGCCCACACCTTCATTTGTGTATCCTGCTTCTAAAAACAAAAACCAGGCAAAAAAACTACACAGAGAACCTGGTCCATTACTACAAAAATAAGTAATTATAGATATTAATAATAATTTCCGATTTTTAGTATATTAGTCAACAAAAAATATAAAAAGAAATCTATGTACTCATTCCTGTAGGTAACCAAATAGATTAAAAATAATTCAGATCACAAAAAGCTACAAAATAAAACAAACTCAGAAATAATTCCAAATAAAAAAAGGTTTAAAAATAACTTTAGAAATTACCCATTTGCCAATTTGGTTGAGACAGTTGGCCCTCTAAATGTACGAGACCAATTTATTCTGTTTACCTCCTATAGCTGTCTACATTAATAATGGAAAGAAAACTGGGAACACTTTGTGCAAGTTGGTTATATTTTTATAAAGATGATAAACTAAAACAAAACGTGTACACTAATGTCATTTGTGCAGTTAAAAGTGTCAGATAAGAGAAATTAAGCATAATGGTAAAGATGCAATCACTACACAGAACTTGTTCAAACTTGAAGAAGCTGGCTTACAATTTAAAGAGATTATGGAAGCAAGAATATAAGACTCAATCACCTACATACCCCTGATCGTCTCCTCAAAAGTCTATACTGCAAGTGCAACGCTATCAACAAAACGTAAGCTGGAATACAGTCTGAACAGTGACTTTATAAAATAACAGATGTAGCTAGACATAAGAAAATAAATGAGTTCTCATCATATTCTGGTATGCTAAGAGCTGATGAGTGAAAGCATTTTGAATAAAGCACTGTTGTCATCCTTCATTTTCAAAGACGACATTACCTGACAGGAGACCTTGTCTGAAAAGATGAATTAGAGACCGTTAGTCTTTTCTCCAGGGAGCACATATAAAGCCAGACCTTTGATTAGGAATCATCACTGTGATCTGAAATGCCTGTTGCCATTTGCAACACTGCCTCCTAGAATCAAGGTCGGCCTTGGCTCAAAAAGATCAATTTCATTCCTGATATTGTCAGGCAAGTCTGGCATTTGCTGTGGTTTCTCAGTCATCCATGATATTGGTTATTTTATCTTATTATCTAAGTGTTACTGTTGAGAATATTTGTTCAATTATGATCTAGACTGAACGATCATGATATGAATAAAATAATCTCATTTTAAACGCTCATTAAGTTTTACATAAATCTTACTTTAAATAAACTCATTCATTTAAAAAACTTTTAAGTTATTTAACTCAATGAAAGGTTTGTTATTATTCTTACTAATTCTCTTATTTATTAAGCTGAACAAAAACGTATCCTGTGCTTGGGATTGTTTTTTCTAATATATCAATATGATTTAAACAGATTCTCATTGGACCATATATTCATTAATGAAATCAAGATACATTGTGGCACTATAATTTGTTATTATCAGAGGTCACTTTAAGTCCCCCAAGTGCTAGGTACAGATGAACTTGATTAAATAATGATCTTTTTGAATCAAGCACTTGGGTGATTAATAAATTGATGATTTCAATTATTGTAACCCTACTGCCCAGGACATAAAAGCATAAAAGTATAGAAAACATTACAAAACTAATCATCTTCTGAAATTATTACCGAGTGCTCTCCTGTGCATTTTGGATGCTAAATCAGCAAAACAGGGGAAAGGTGTATTATACTTTAACTCACCCCAAAGAAACGTTATCAATAAAGCAGATAGGGAAGAACAGAAACTCACTTTTTAAAAAAATGAATCTTGGTGACGTGAATACAGGCAATTTCTTACCTTCATTTCGCTTATCTGCATTTTAAAAGATTTTCTGCATTGAATGTTGCCTGTTTTGTGCTAAGGAAAATGTCATTTTTAAAATAAAGAAATTTAATGTAGAGCCATGGGTATTTATATTAACCAGCTTTTTGTTATACTTGATCAAAAACAAAACACTACCTGGCTCACACAGTTCCATCAACAACTAACCTGCTCGGTATGGCCATGACTGAGGTTATCTTTTTTACTGGACAACGCAAGTTGTACAACACTGATCTTGCTTCTCGGGCAGGGATGAATAGTTCATTTGTCTGACGATCTCAGCAAAAAGTTCATCCACCATTGATTTACTTTTTGCCGATGTCTCCATGAAAGGACAGCCCCATTCTTGAGCCAAAGCTCTACCTTCTGAAGACATAACCTCTCTTTCTGGTTCCAGATCCACTTTATTTCCTACTAGGATTAGTGGGACTTTTTCATATCTCTTCACTCTGACAATCTGATCTCTCATTGGCTTGATATCCTATTCAAACAATCACAAAGAGAAAGAAAAAAAAATTATGCTGTTTGCTTAACCGTGGAAGAAGTATTATGTCACAAAAAGTCATCCCTTGGTGAATATATAAAGCTAAGTCCAAAATAAAATCACGCACCCAGAGAAAATGTCATTTTGTTCATTGAAGTAGAAACTAGATAATTTCCACAGGCTTTACCTGCCGGGTTTATGTCAAGAATATAAAACATAGGTTGCACACTAACCTTAATACTGTCCCCACCCCCAGTCTATACTGATTAAAAAAGCAAGTTCCCAAACATGATTAATCCATTCATACATAAGGATATTTGGCCATCTCCCTAAACCTGCCTGCTTGTCATCACTCCTTGTAACACCTGTTATCCCAGCACAGGATTGCAGCATCTATGCATTCCTAGTCATTTAGCAAGAGGGCTTGGGAGAAAGTGTTTTAGGTGGGAACAAAAAACACTTTGTAATGCCTAGAAGATTAGAGGTAAAAGCAGATTAATACATTGAAATTTTTATTTTAAATTGAATGGTATGCCTTTATCCCAGTAAAATCAAACACCTTACATACATTAGAAACTACTGTAACAGTAAGCAACTCCCAGGAAGGACAATGGAGAAGCCTGGATGAGAAGTCACACTTTTCTCTCCCTATGTTTGTTTTTACTACTTGATTCCCTTCCCTATGAATAGTGCTTTTTCTAAGTAATTACAATTAATTACAAAAAATAAGAGCTTTAGTAATTCTCCAGTAGCATCAATTCTAGGAGGAAATGTTATTGACTTAAGACAATATTATAGATTTAATCCTAGCATTGCAATCTTTGGTGATTTTTCATAAATTAAAAGGTTTGCCTTAAATATAAAATGTGTGTTTAAGTTGACTATTACAGCAAACAGAATATTCACATGTAGGTCAAAGGAAAAACAAGAGGCTGTGAAAATTTATAAAAATATAGTTATTTGATGTTTGTAATGATTTGGTTTGATCATGTATCAATTCAGTCTTCTAGGTTAAGCCTTTCCCGTTGTCCTTAGGGAAACACAAATTCAGCTGAGAATCCAAACTTAAGGTATTTGGGCTCAAAAAAGTCTAAGTTTCCACTGAATTAATGGCACAGTTTTTCACTCCCAATTTATGTCTATAACAGAAGTGGATATAATGGCAATCTTATGATACACTCTTCAAAAGACTCCCAGCCTCAAGAGAGTCAGCTGGTAGAATAACAAATCTCCTGAGGAACCTTTAGAGAGAAAATGCCTGTCAAATAGCACCTTTAATATTTTCTGGAGAAAAAATGCTTTTATGATACTATTGCTTTGGAATTTAAGCCTACATAAAATGAACTTTAGTTTGGTTTCAATAGCTTTGATTCATTTACCCAGAAGTTGCTATATCAGGTTACTGGAAAAGTTCACTAGAGTACTTTAATTTAAAATACTAAAGAAAGTGGAATTAGCACATTGTATTGGCTAAAGCACTTAAGGTCTCTTAAGTAAGCAACATTAAGTGCATACCTTTAAATGCAGAAAAAAATTATATCCATTTCCTAAATCAATGGAGGTCAATATAATGGGTCAATATGAGGTTATTTATTTTCAAGGAATAAATAGCAACATTTATTGCATCTCTTAAAATAACGTTAAGCCTTTAGTCTGTCTCCCAGTGAAGGACAGGACAGATTTTCCTAAGAAATTGGACCACATCCAGTTTGGCCACCCACCCAGGGTAAGAAACTTGCACTTGTTCAGTGTTCCCAGACCCACATATTTTCTATAAATATAGGCAATGTTACCAGAAACAATTTGGATCAACTGCAGAAAAGGAGAGTCATTCTTGATTTTTGTTGGCTATTAATTCTAGGCACTAGTCTTTTCAATTAGTAACTTCCCTTTACACTACACGCCCCAAGTAAGTAAAATGCCTAGAAGGCAGGTATCGAGTTCTTCCTCTTCATCTTGCACCACTAAGATTTATGAATCTAGTTTAGAAACTTGGGAGAGAACGGAGAGGGGGAGGGAGGGGCCAGCAGACTCAGAGGACTTCTCTGTGCAACAGATAATGGGCTCCAAATAATTTTCCTTTCAAAGTGCTCTATTTACCCGAGATTAGCTGTTGAATGTTGTTTTGCTGAGAACGTTAATCAATACTTGTTCAACTGAACAAGAGACTTCAGAAGGTTATATTCCAGGCTAAATATACACAGACTGACCTATTTCTTTTTCACTTTTCTTTGCCTTAAATATACCTTTAAACTATTTGTCTACGCTTGTTACTTCAGTGCTGTCTACAGAAACAACCCGATAGTTTTCCATGCCAAGAGTAACCTCAAAAATGCGCCATGTCTAACTTTCAAAAGCAAAACATAGTCATTAGCGCAAGGTTCAAGCAAACCAGAAGTAGATGCAGGAATACCACACCCCCTTCGAACAAATTACAAGACTTGGTTTGGTTACCTGAAAAGACTGTTGATTCACCAGACTATAAACCAGGATGAAACCTTGGCCGTTTTTGATGTAGAGATCTCTCATGGAGGCAAACTGCTCAGTTCCTGCGGTGTCCAGAATTTCCAGCACGGAGGGGGAAGAGTCCACTTCGATCTCTTTGCGGTAAAAATCTTCAATGGTGGGGTCATATTTCTCAATGAAAGTCCCAGTGACAAACTGCACAGTCAGGGCAGATTTGCCAACCCCTCCGCTCCCTAACACCACTACCTTGTATTCCCTCATGAGTCTCACCTTCACCGACTCCTACCAGAGGGGGGGAAGAATAACACCCCGCTAGCTGCGGCGCGGCTAGACGAGGCGGAAGGTGGGCGGAAATCTGCGAGCTGGGGAGGAGAGTGCAGAGCAGCAGAGGGCCCAACGGGGAAGAGGAGGAAGTTGAGGGAGGGGGAGGG